CTCATCAGGACTCACCACAGCAGTGCTGGGGCCAGCAGCCATCATCACTCGAAAGGGAGGCTTGGCCCTGCTGCCTTCTCACAGATCCAGAGGTGCAGGTCACTGGGACCAGTGCACTGGGCGGGTTTGATGGTCCCACGGCTTATTATGGCACAGGTTCCATTCGATTTTGACTGCCACGGCCTGAATGGGGAAACAAACAACACATCAGGCACTGACATGTACTTTCTACAAACCCTGCTGAGGCAGCTGTGGCTGCTGAAAACTGCCTTTTGTACACTGGCAGAGGAGGGGTTGGATGCTGCAGTCAAAGGGGGATCCCCCAGTCCTCCCCTACTGATTTCACAGGCTGAAGGCTCAGCTGATGCATCCCTGCACTTCCTTGGGCAGGCAGAGAAACGCTGTAAAAGGTTTGCAGTGCTTGTGACACCCCTTTAGCCTCACCCCTCTCAGCTTCACTGCTGGGGGTTGTTCATGTCTGCAGAGGGGAGAGCCAGCTCCTCCCTGAAGACACACGGATGGCCAGAGGAGCTGGCCTGAGCCCTGGGTCTGCTCTGGGCACAGCTCCCATGGCAGGGCAGAGGATGGAGGGCCAGGTACCCAGAACCTGGCCAGACAGGTTCGTTCCTCCCCAGTGCTCTCAGACACTGCAAGAGGAAGCGGCAGCGAGCTGAGGAGGTGGTGCACGTGGCAGGGAGGAGCCCAGGATTCTCCACAGACAGGAAGGCTGTGATCTCCCTTTGATCTCCCTTTGGAGAGGAATCAAGAAGGCATGTGGGAGATAGACATGGTGCTCTAACACCTTGCCTAGGCCCCAAATAAAATTTGGCGTTTCTTCTGTCCACTCTTGCTGCCTCCTGCTCCTCATGCCCTGCATTTTACCCACCCCCTAGTCTTGGCTTTCCATTTGCGTGTCCTCTAAGCACCTCATCACACCACTGCAGCCACCTTCCCTCAGTCCCTGCTGCTCTGATGCTCTTTGTTTCCCAGGGCCTGGAACTGGGTACTGGTGGGATTTAAAATGCTTCCTAGAGCCATGCCAGAGGAGGGGAGTTTTGGGAAGAGGCAGTGCTGCCAGGTACCTTTCGTAAAGGGAGCCATCCACCCAGAACCAGGCCTCCGAGGCCCCCTCGCCCTCTGGGTCCTCTTCCTCCAGCCAGCCATAGTCGTACCAGGGAAAACTGCCCTTCTGCAATCCAATCCAATATGGGACATCAGCATTCTTCAGGAAGGTCTGCAGAAGAAGAAAAAGTGCTTTTCCATGTTTTATTCCATGGCACCCATGTACTGCAGTACTATATATTTCACAGCAGGGTGATCATCTCCCAAGGAGCCCCTGGGGCTGGAGCTTCTTGAGCCATGGTGCCCTGCTCCAGCTTGGGAAACATCCAGGGCTGCCAGAGCTTTTCTATCCCATGTCAACCACCATGTGCTCCAGAGAGCAGCCTTGCACCCTCCAATGTTTTGGCGGGACAGGGGGCCCCCCGAACTGTGCTAGCCCATCTGGGGACCTCATGGCTGGGTACACCATCTCCTGCCCTCAGCTCCCCCAGCACCCTACCGGCACAGTCCAACGACTCCAAGATTTGGTGACCAGGAGCTGAGAATATGTCTTCTCACACTCATCTCTGCTGTCTTCCCACGTCTTCTTCTCCGAGGAGATGAAGAGGCACTTGCCCCTGTACAGCAGCCAGCCCGAAGGGCAGCAATCTGTGGGTAGGGGCACAGCTGAGGGGTTTGCTCAGCCACAGATGCCCTGAGGAGTAAGAAGGAACAGTCCCACACCTTCCCAGCAGACATCACAGGCTCAGTGTCTGCTCCAGGCATTGCTTCAGCCTTTGGACCACCCTGTCCCCGCCATGTGGTGGAAAAAGCCAGTACTTGGCCCTTGGCACGGGCTGAGCGGTGCCAGTCGCCTGGAGCACCCCCTCCCTGCTCCATCACCACCCTACCTATAGCTGTGCAGGAGCGCAGGAGGGCCACGGTGCTCTCGCTGGTGTTGAGCCTCCCCTGCACCTCCTGCATCTCCCTCTCTGTCCTGCCCAGGACCGCCGTGACACGGCGCAGCTCCGTGCTCAGCCTGTCCAGCTCCAGATGGCTGACGTTGCCCTGGTGCCACGCTCGCTGCAGCTCTTCCCTGGCCCATGCCAGCTCCAGCTGTGCCTGCTCCAGGCTCTGCTCCTGCGCCCTCAGCTCCTGCGACAGGCGGCCCTGCTCGGCTCTGTGCTCACGGGAGGAGTCCTGCAGGCTGCGGGTGACCTGCCAGTCTGGGGACAGGGTGGGGGACAGCTAGACATGAGCATGGGACAGTTCGGATGTGGGACTGATCCTGCTTAAGGCAGGTGGGATGGGCAGGGCAAGGCAGGGAATTATCCATGAAGAATGGGAAAGATGGGAGGGAAGGACACAGCAGGGAAGTGTACGGTTAGGGGTTGGGCAGGATCTGGCAGGGGAGAGCAGGACAAGGCAGGATGGGGCGTAGAAGCAGACACAGCAGGTTAAGGGCAGGGAGGGTGCAGCAATATGAGGCTGGGCAATGCCAGGATGGGAAAGAAAAGGAGCAGAAATGGAAAGTAAGGTGAGGAAGAGGGATGATGTGAGGCAAAGGAGGTGCTCAGGATGTGCGAGGGATGTAGGCCAGCTTGTGGCAGACGGGGCACAGGGACTCAGCAGTGAGTGTGCAGGAGCATGCCTCTATTCACCCACAGTGCCCACCCCAGCCAGATGCCTCCTGACCCAGCCACTCCCTGCCCCAGATGTTCACAGTCCCCCAACTCACAGCAAGCCCCCAGGGCCACAGTGGCCACCAGCAGCAGGCAAGTTGTCAGCAGACCCACAGGGATGCACCACCGATGGGAACAGCGCCCTGCATGACACAACAGGCAAGAGACATCACCTGAAGAGCTGGAAAACCCCTGACAGCACCCAGACCTCCTTCCTGGACACAGGCAGGAGAATGGTGGCATGACAGCACAGGTGGCATGGTGTGGGTGATGGGAGTGGGAGGACCCCAAAACCTCACCCACGACCCACCCCAGAACCACCCTGGGTCTGCTGGAATCCAGCTGGATACTCACCTGGGCTGGGCTCTGCTCCATCCCCCTCCTGCCCTGCCAGTGCCGGCTGCATGTTGTCATAGGGGCTCTCTGCCTCATTCATGGCAAAGGCTGTTGGAGGAAGGAAGGGGAGAGCAGCTGAGGCCATGGGGTCGGGCATGGCAGGGGCAGCGTGGCGGGGCCTGTGGGCTCTCACCTTCCTCCAGTGCCTGGCTGGCCATGCTCCGGCCCCCCATCACTTTGGCAAACCTCAGGTCAGCATAAAGCTGGGCCATGTGGGCAAGCCCTGAGCCTCGATGGCTCCCGCTCCGCCCTTGGGATGCCTTTCTGAGGTGTCCCTGCTCCCGGTGACTGTGCCGTCTCTCAGAGGTGCAAAGGAGAAGTGCAGCCAGCATCTGCAGAAGCAGAAGTTTGCTCTGCACTGTAGCAGATGGGACCAGTGAGGCACGGCTGCGGGGACCAGCCCCCTCTCATTGGTCCCAGAAACATCAGCCCGTCCCCTCCCACGCCCTAGAAGTGCTCATGGTCCCCCTAGGCACAGGGCAGGGTGAGGGCAGCACAGCCAGCTGTCACAGCAGTGGCACAGCAAAGGATGGACCCAAATCTGTGCACTACGGGGCAGAGCAGGGCAATCCTGAATACAGGAGCAGATTGCCATGTGGACAGCTCTGTGGAGGGCTGGAGATCTTCACAGAGAGAGATTTCCCCTCCCAGCCTCTGAGAATGGGAATTTCCCCATGATGTATTTTGTTCCACTACCTCTCATCCCCTCCCTGGTCCTCTCCAAAGAAGACCCCAGCTTTGGCATTGTTCCAAAACAGCCCCAGAGAGTTACAAAAATCAGTGATGTCCCCTTTGCCTTCCCTTCCCAAGAGCATAATCCCAGAATTCACAACACCTTCTTGTTCCCTCCAGGCCCTCAGTGTCTCAGGTCTCCGCTGAACTGCATCCAGAGAAGTGCAGGTTTCAGAAGGAATGCTCCAAAGCTTCCCCCTGCTTCCCATTGCCTCCCACTGCCTCCTACTCTGTTCCACTGCCTTGCCATTGCCTCCCACTGTCTTCCAGATGGTCAGATGGGCACATCTGAACACAGCCAGTCCCTGGGACAGCACTGGAGGTGCACAGTGGTGCTGGTGGAGCACAGTGTCCATCGTCTGTGCAAGAGCAAGGGAAGTTCTTCCTCAGTGGAGAAAGGCAAAAATCAAAGCCACCTTCAAAGGGGACAGGAAGTTTAGAAAGCTAAAAGCTGGGCAGCCTCTACTCAATCTCCTGGAAGAAAACGGAGCATGTCTGCCTGGGCATGCAGGGGCCCAGACCCAGGGAGGATGCACAGGGGAAAGGCCAGTGGGATTTACTGGGTGACTGCTCAGTGTACCTCCTACTGCTTGGAAGCACTAGCCTGGAGAGCAACGGGGCAATTTATCATGACCCTTTGGGGTCTGGGATGTGGTTTTCCATAGTGTATTTGGTGGCAGAGTAAAGAGATGTGGCCACGATGAGAGGAGAAGTGAAAGCTCATGCTGCAATGTGGAAGTCTCTTTTAGGCATTAAGGCAGTGATGCTCAGATCCTGGAGCAGAGCACCAAGGAGAGGGAACCTCCATCCTGGATGGAGTCAGCAGCAGAGCTACCTGTTCCCAGCTGGAAGCCAGACCTGTTCTCCCCTGCCCTAGGAAATCAGATGAATTCTCTGTAGGCTGAGCCCTACAGCTCTGTCCCAGGCTCCAGCCCCAAGTTGCACCACCCCAATGCCATCCCAGGGGACACTGAGCAGTTTCGGGGGGTGGAGGGGAGCGAAATGGTGGTGCCTGGCCAATGGCAGGATGCTGCTGCCGCGGCCGTACTTCCCCCTCCGTCGCACCTCACCACACTTCTGCTTCTGCAGAAACCAGCTGCATTTTCCCTTTGAAGCGGAGCAGAGCCCGCAGGGTCATCGGGGCCGCCCGGGGCATGGCCCAGAGTGTGGTCTACGCCGACCTGAAGTTCGCGGCGCGGCCCCCATCCACCGTGCCCGACGACGATGACAGCCCGTACGAGAACGTGCCGCTGGGGCCGGTGGCAGCCGCGCCCAGCCCAGGTGGGAACGGGCAGCAGCCGCCGGGGAGGGCCCGGTGCAGGGGGTGGCAGGGGAGCACGGGGTGATGCCCGAAGGGTGATGCCCGCGGGGTGATGCCCGAAGGGTGATGCCCGCGGGGTGATGCCCGCGGGGTGATGCCTGCGGGGTGATGCCCGAAGGGTGATGCCCGCGGGGTGATGCCCGCGGGGTGATGCCCGCGGGGTGATGCCCGCGGGGTGATGCCCGAGGGATAATGCCCACCGGGTAATGCCTGCGGCCTGCCTCTCTTGCAGGGCGCTGGAGCCGGCGATGGCACGTCCCCACGGCGCTGCTGGTAGCCACCCTGCTCCTGCTGCTGCTGCTGCTGGTGGCCGTCGTGGCCCTGGGGGCTTGCCGTGAGTCGGTGCTGCCGCGGGTGGGGGCAGCCGGGAGGGCGGCACCAGGAGCGGGCGTCGGGCTGGGCGAGGGGCTGGCTGCGGGGGCTGTAAGGGAGGAGGCGTGCCTGGGGCTGGGGTCCAGGGCTCTTGCATGGCCTCCACGAGCTGCCTCCCACTGCCTTTCCCCCTGCCTTTCCCCCTGCCTTTCCCACTGCCTCCCACTATCTCCCCTTGTCTCCCCTCATCTTTTCCACTGCCTTCCATTGCCTTCCCACTGTCTCCCACCCCTTCCCATGGTCTTTCCTCTGCTCCCACTACCTGCCAATCCCTCCCACTGCTTCCCTCTTCTCTCTGCTCAGACACTGCCATCTCACTGCCCTCCTCTGCTTCCCAATCCCTCCCACTGCCTCCCACTCTCTATCACAGCCTCCCATTTCCTCCCACTGTCTTCCCACTTACCCCCATTGCCAACCATTGCCTCCCTTTTCCTCCCACTGCCTTCTACTTCTTCCCATTGCCTCCTAATCCTTCTGCCTGTCTTCCCATCACTATCTCCCATTCCCTCCCACTGACTTCCCACTGTCTTACATTTCCTCCCACTTCCTTCCACTTCCTCCCACTGCCTCACATTGCCTCTCCATTTTATTCCCACTACCTCATGCTGCCTGCCCACTGCTTCCCACTGCTTCCCTTTTCCTTCCCATTTTCTTCCAACTGTCTTCCATTGCTTCCCATTGCCCCCCAAACCCTCCCATTGCTTCCCATTGCCTCCCACTCCCTTCCACTGCCTTCCCATTGCCTCCCACTCCCTTCCACTGCCTTCCCATTGCCTCCCACTGCCTTCCACAGCCTTCTCATTGACTCTCCTTGTCTTCCCACTGTCTCTCACTGCCTTCCAATGTCTCCCCTCCACTTCCCACCATTGGAGCTTCCATTCCCTTCCCACTGGCACCCCCAGGGCAATCTCCACCCACAGCCAGATACTCTTATCCTACTCTCCCTTGCAAGAGGCATGCCCCAGGCAGGGTCCCATGCTCAAGTCCAGCTCACCTGCCCTGTCCCCAGACTGGCAGGTCACCCGCAGCCTGCAGGACTCCTCCCGTGAGCACAGAGCCGAGCAGGGCCGCCTGTCGCAGGAGCTGAGGGCGCAGGAGCAGAGCCTGGAGCAGGCACAGCTGGAGCTGGCATGGGCCAGGGAAGAGCTGCAACGAGCGTGGCGCCAGGGCAACGTCAGCCAGCTGGAGCTGAAAAGCAGGAATGCTGAGCTGGGGCATACCCAGCAGGAGCTGGCTGCGTTGCAGGAGAAGATGCAGGAGGTGCAGGGGAGGCTCAACACCAGCGAGAGAACTGTGAGCAGCCTGCGTGCCTGCGTGAACACAGGTAGAGCGTGACGGGCTTGGGGCACTGCTGATGTTGCTGCTGCAAGATGCAGGGCTGAACTCAGCCAGGCTGAGCTCCCCAAGCATCCATAGAAGGATGAGCACCTGAGTTGTGCCCCTCCCTTCAGAATGCTGCCCCTGGGGCTGGGTGCTCTTCAAGAGCAAGTGTCTCTACATCTCGGCGACAAACAAGACCTGGGAGCAGAGCCAGGAAGACTGTGAGGGGAGATCTGCTCGACTGCTGGTCCAGGATGAGTGGACACCACTGACAGTGCCGGTACAGAGCAGGGGGGTGTGGTACCCCAGGAGGGTGGTGCTGGGCAGAGCCCCACGGGGCCAGCTGCAGCAGTATCTGTGGACATGCCAGGGTGACATCCTGGCAGTCTGACAGGAGAAGCACAGCCAGCCCTGGGGCTCCTGGGCACCTGGCAAGTGCTGGTCACAAAGCAGGTGGTTGACAGCTTCTGTCCCCCCTAGAATTTTGTGCAGGCGTCTAAGGCACACTACTGGATTGGAGGAAGACCTTTCTATGTGGCAAGGAGATCTATGTGGAAGGACAGCAAACATCCTTCGTAAGTCCAGGAGTCCATGGCACAAGCACCTGCCCTTTTGCCATACTAGAAAGGTGCTGTTTCACCCTGCGACACCCCTCAATAAAAGGGTTGAGGGACTCCCACGAGCAGTGCCCCAAGGGAGGGGGTGAGGGTAGAGCCATGCTGTGGGGTGCAGTGCCAAATGTCCAAGTGGCAGAGGATAAGAGCAGGAGGAGGAATGTGACACTTCCTCAGGCTGATCCCTGTGCCAGGTGCCTTGCCTGCCCCAGCAGCACCGGGATCTATGGGAAGTGGTGTCCATGGTGAACAGGTTGTCACTGCTGACCTGAGATGTGCCCTCTTTCCTAGGAAACGTCATATTCCAGACTGCTGGTCACTAGTTGATGGGGAAATGTGGAATAAGCGGTGTGACAGTCCCAACCCGTGGATCTGCGAGAAATCCCCAAAGCTGAGCATAGCATCTGAGACTCAACCTCCTTTTCTGGCCAAGGACTGAGTGCTGCCACCCCCACTCCATCCCTGGACTCAGGAACAGGACCTGGGTGTGCACCTGAGACCCTGTCCCTGTCCCCGCTTTGCCTCAATTGCCTTGCAAAACTGCTGGGGAAAAGTGTCTCTATTTTAAAGCAAGGATTATGGAAAAGAGACCTTATTCCCCTCTCCCACACTCATGCAAACATATATCATACTGCTTTGTACTGTGCCACTGCATGTCCCTGTGTGCCCTGGCCAATGCAGCTCCAGTGCAGAGCCCAGCTCTTACCTTCTTTGCTACCCCAAGGTGCCAGGGGTGCAGGATCTGCCATTTGCAGATAATTTTGGACCTGAGGGATGACACACTGATGTCCTCAACCTGTCCATTTTGGTGAGATCTGTGGATTTACAGCCTGTCCCTTCTCTCAGCATTGACAGCTCTCATCCTGCCCTTTCTTCTGCCTTCATCACCTGCCCAGGGCTTTGGGCTGGGTCCTACCTGGAAAGGCTGCTGACAGTGGAGCCATCAGCATGAGGAAATACTGGGAAGCCCAGAGACCATATGGGAAATGGGGGAGTGCTGGGGAGCTTTTAGAACATGGTGGATGAATGAGGAAACTCTAAAACCATGGGAGGAAAACAAGGGCAATGAAGAGCCCTAAGACTGTGGGAGGTGAATGTGGGAATCATGAGACCATGGAAAGGGAGCACAGTGGAACTGCAAATGAGGGTGGTCCTGAACAATTGGAGGTGCACGGATAAGACAGTGGGAGAGAGGAAGGAGCACTAGGGAGGCTTGGGAGCATGGGGAAAAGGGGACACCCTTCCCACGAAGGGGGAAAGATCCCTAAGAATGTGGTGGGACCTTATCTGCCAAAGGAGGGTGATAAGAGACACCAGTCCAGGACCCAGGGTGACCCTCCCTGTCTCCGTCAGTGTTTCTGCAGAGAAGGGAATGTTTTGGCAGCCAGTTTGCTAAGCTGGACCTGAGACAGCCAGCACGGCTTCACAGCTCCTGCCCAACCAAGCCTGCGGCCTTCTACAATGGAGAGATTGCATCCGTGAACAAGGGAAGGGCTACACCTGTCATCTGTCTGGACTTCTGAAAAGCCTTCAACACAGCCCTCCTCTAAATCTGAGATAAGTGGATTCAATGGGTGAACTGTTCCTTGGGTAAGGCTGGACATCTCCATCCAGAAGATTGTGGTCAATGGCTCTTATCCTCTGGTGATAATGTTGGCCCTCAGGGATTCACCTTGGGACCAATGTTATTTTGTCAACAATGTGAACAGTGGGATCAAGTGCACCCTCAGCAAGTTTGCAGGTGACACCAAGCTGAGGTGGTCTGACACACCTGAAGGACAGGATGCCATCCAGAGGGACCCAGACAAGCTCCAGGAGTGGCCCATGGGACACCATGAGGTTTAACAAGGCCAAGAGCTGCTGCTGCACCTGGGCTGGGACAGCCCCTGGTCGCAGCCCAGGCTGGGCATGAACAGCCCCAGAGCAGCCCTGCCCAGAAGGGCTTGGGGGTGCTGTGGGTGAGAGGCTGCACATGCCCCGGCCATGGCACTGCCAGCCCAGAGAGCCAAACGTGTCCTGGGCTGCATCCAGAGCCCCGTGGGCAGCAGGGCAGGGAGGGGATTCTGCCCCTCTGCTCTGCTCTGCTGAGACCCACCTGGAGCACTGCATCCAGCTCCGGGCTCCCAGCATGGGAGGGACAGGGACCTGCTGCAGTGAGCCCAGAGGAGGCCACCAAGATGATCAGAGGGATGGAGCACATATGCTGTGAAGAGAATTGGGATTGTTCAGCCTGGACAAGAGCAGGCTTCAGGGAAAACTTACTGTGGCCTCCCAGTACCAAAAATCACTGCAGGAAATCTGGAGAGAGACTTTACACAAGGGCTTGTAGCAAAAGCACAAGAGGAAATGGCTTCAGACTGAGAGGGCAGCTCCTGGAGAGCTTCCATAGAAGGAGGCTGGTGGAGCCAGCCCAATGGCATGGCAAGGCTGGGACAGGATTGCAGGTCCCCTACAGTCTCAAAGACTTGCTGTGTCTGGCTTGTCCTGGAGAGTCCAGATGTCCTCCCTGCTCCTAAAGCCCTGATCTCCGGCCTCCACTGCCCACAGTGTCGCAGTTTCCACTGCGAGGACACGCTGCAGACCCCACCCAGCCTCTGGTCCATGGTTTCCCTAGGCTGGTTCAGCATGGCTGCTTACTTGCCCTCTTGATATGTGGCTTTTCCTTTCTTCCCAGCTGCAGGATTTGCACTTTTACCCACTCCAGTATCAGCAGGCTCCTATCAAACCATTTCTCCAGGCCTCTCTGTACCCCAGTCCTGCCCTCCAGTATACACATTACTGGTTTGGTATTGCCCCCCAGTTGCCTGAGGCCACCCCCTACCCATCATCCAGTGCACTGATGAAGGCTCCAAGGAGCACAAACCCCAGGATCAAGCCTTCAGCAACTGCCAGGAGAACAAGGGCATTACTGACACCCACTGCAGCCCTCACACCATTCAGGTTTTCCACCACACTCTTCTCCTCCTCTCCTGACCTCATATATCCCCACTTTGCCAGTGAGGAGACCATAGAGAACCAAGTCCCAGACCTGAAATGTTCATTGTAATGTCCCCCGTTGCTCTCCCCTTATGCACAGCCCATTGTTGCCACAGCAGCAGGCAGGTCAGACAGGCATCGCCTGCCCTTGGCCAATCCTGCCTGGCTTTCCCCATCCCATGCTCTGGATGGTCACATGCCCAGGAGGTGTGCTACATCTTCTTCCTGGTATCAAGGCTGGACAACAAAGCTCAGCTCCGGACAGGTGATGTAGGAATAAGAAAGGGCAAAACAGGAGCCAGCAGCAAATAGTGGCAGAGGCAAAGGGCAGCCAGGAAAACTAAGAGAGTGCTCAAAGGGACAGCAATGACATTATCTTAACCTACCTTCACCAAACCACCCCCGTGGAAAGCAGCAGAGGTGGGCTGGAAGGCTGGCACAGACGTCCCCTTGTTGAGGAACACCTCTGCTCCAGGCAGCTGGGCTTGCAAGGCACGGCTGCAGATGCAGATGGAAAAGCAGATTGAGCTTGGGGTGGGAGCCCGCGGCAAGAGCTGTGAACTGCCAACCTTTGGGATAGCAAAGGGCAGGAGGATGAGTGGTGCCAGACAGACAGAGAGACACAGCAGGAGCTAGGAACTGCTGACCTTTTGTATAATGAAGGAGGGAGGACAAAAGCAAGGTAGATGGACACAGAGAGGGGGCAGGAGAAGACAAGGAGGAGCAAGGCTTGAGCACAAGCAGACATTGAGGGGATAAAAGCCCAGGTGTTCCTTTGCTGGGAATCCCTCCTCAGAGGAACCATCTCGAGCTGTTTCTGTGTTACTGTGCTGTGAATAAATGGCTTTTTGGAATGAGACATCTGAGACTCTTCCATGGGAAACCTGTGACAAGATGAGTGCCCACGGGCATGGTCCCGCCGCCATCGCCCAGCGCTCACCCTGTGCTGCGGTATCCCTGTGGCAGTGAACCCAGGCTGGCCACTGTCAGCACCAGCCCCAGCAGCAGGTCCTTGTAGGCAATGTCATCCTCACTGGGGTCTGCAGGGCACAGGGGAGCAGCGAGCAGGGGCCTCAGCAAACTGCAGGCCAGCGTAGGCCCCACTCCGGGCCATGCAGGTGGCTCAGCAGCAGCAGTCCAGGAAGGAACCCAGCCCTGTCCTTCTCCATTGTGGTCCGGTGGCAGAGTGTGGCTAAGACCATACTGTGTGGAGACACATCTTCATATGCAGAAAAGCAGAAGTAGTTGCTTTATTTGCAAAAAGTGGGTTTTTTCCTGCATATGTTCTCCTTTTAGGGGGTGGGGTGCGAATGAGCTCCCTCCTGCTCAGCATCTTCTGTGTTCAGGTCCCCAGGTTGTGAAGAGCCCAAGCCCCTGGGTGCAGGCCACAGCAGGGATACCCTGCTCCATGCATCACCTTCCTCCTCCCAGTCCTGCTCAGGCTGACAGGCTGCACTGGCTGGGGGACTTGATCTTTTGCAAGGGAGGGAGTCCCAGCAAGGTCTGTGCCAGAGCTGCAGGCTGCTGGAGCAACCCAGTGGTCTATACCGAAACCAGAACAGCCTCTGGGACCAAACAACTCCAAATCAAGCCCTAGCAGGCCTTTTAGGCTCTCACACAGAACCCAGCCTCAAAACAAGGCGAGGATGTTTGCTGGAGCCTCTTCAGACTGGGCAGGCACCAGGAAACCAGCTTCTGCCCAGCCCAAATCCTCCGTGGGACTGCAGAGGCAAAGGGTCACTCCCCAGCAGCACAACCCAAGAAGAAAAAGCCCCAGGCAACCACCACAATCAGAAAGCCCAGAGCTTCCATGGGACCTGTGCCAGCCTGCACAGGAGCTGCAGCTGAACACTGCAGTTGGACCGTGGGGATGCCTGGATTCCTGCTGGCTCAATGCTGGCTCCTGGCCACAGGATGCAATTTCCCACTTGTAAGTGATGCCACTGAGTCTAAAAGCTGGAGGGTGCACCTCCATCCTACCCCCACATCCCAAATCCCGCTGCAGTTACTGTCAAAATTTATTGGCAAAGTGCAGAGTTCTGGAGGGTAAAGAGGGCCAGGAGGCAGCGGAGCCTGGGAATGCCCATGCACTGGGGCCAGGCAGGGAACAGGGTGGTGGCACAGGCTGGGTGTCACCATGGCCATCAGGGCCTCACACAGCTGTAGGTGGTGTTTCCCCAGAGGAAGGCAGGAGACGAGGACTGGAGCCACTGCACGGTGGCTGCACTCTGCTTGCAGACCCATCTGAGGGCTTCTGTGCAGGCACCACCGAAAAGTCCCAAGCCTGACACCCTGCCACAGGCCTGGAAAGATCTGGTGTAGCGCTGGACTGGGAAGGTCCTGCAAGGGAGAGAGTGGGCTGAGATGGATGGGCAGGAAGAACTGAGACTGTCCCATCAGCAGCTCCGCAGCCAGGGATCAGGCACTGCACAGGGGTGCTGTGGGGGCAAAGTTCACCCTCCCCATGGAGAACAGTCTCCTGTCAGCCTCCTCCCACTTCGGCCACATGCCCTGATACCCCTAACCCATCACTCTCAAAGCACCCCCAGGTCAATCCTAGCAGGGCTCAGCACTGACCAAACTGGGATCCTGCTTTTGCAGAATCCCCTGCAGTCCCTCAACCAGGCAGAGTGTGGGCACCAGGGCCAGTCCCCTGCTAAAAATGCCCCTTCCCTAAAATGCCCTTCTTCCTGGGAAGAAAAGAGGTAGCCAAAAATGGGTCACATCCCCGCATGCCTGTCCCCATCACCACCCCGAGCCCTGATGATGGACCTTCAGCACACCTAGCTGGGAACAAGCTGATAGCCTCACCATTCCAGTGTGGTGCCGTCCAGCCACTTCCACTCAGACCTAAAGCCGTCCTGCTTCAGCCCCACGTGAAAGGCATCCATGTTAGCTGTGCGCACCAGGAAAGCCTAGCACAGGAGAGGACCCACATGAGCCTCCTGGGGGGACACCCAGCCCAGCCACACGGTTAGTGATGGGGGCTGTGCTGTATGGGCACAGCACTGCCAGCTGCCTCCTGCCTGGAGGCTTTGCTAGGCTTTGGGCACATGGGCGGGAAGCTGAGACAATGCTGTGTGAGGGTGACTGCTGAGGGACCGTGGGGTGGCCACCAGGACAGCCCAGTGCTCACAGGGAGTTGGTGGTGTGCACTCACCAGGGTGGTGTTGGCTTGGATGGTGACCAGCTGTGCCCCTCTGGAGCAGCAGTCCTCTCTGCTCTGCTCCCAGTTCTTTTTGGCAGAGGAGAAGTAGTAGCACTGCCCCGCGTCCCAGAGCCAGCCGACCGGGCAAAACTGGCATTGCCCTGCACACCAGAAACACAGCAGTGGGATGGGGCAGCTGGCCAGGGCTGCCACCAGCCCCCAGCCCAAGGGACCAGGAGAGTGACAGCAGGCAGCCAGGGCACCGACTAACCCATCTGTTCGTATGTCTGCCCCACAGAGACCACTCTGCATTCGCCCTCCTATGTGAGCCCAGCTCCAACTTTCCAGTCCCAGAGCCCTGGGAATAGGAGTTAGTTACAGGAACATGCTGACACTGAGTAGGGCAGGGAGCTGCAGGTTTGGGGAGGTGATACAAACACAGCTGACAAAGTGCTGGGGACTCAGATAAGGTTTCAGCTGCACCAGAAGCTGTTGTCATCTGGCACAGGGATGCTGGTGGCATCCATGAGCCTGGTGCTGGTGATGTGCCCAGGTAACACTGAGCTGTCTGGGGTCATCTCTTCTAAAGGGGTCTCAGCAGTTCAGCCTGTTCAGCAGTGCTGGGGCAGCTCTCCACACCAAAAGCTGAGGGACGGACAGTAAAGATGAAGGAATATGTAGGGGTAGAGCTCAGGGAAACATCCTTGACTAGGGACAAATCCTGATGCTTGAAAGCAGCAGTAAGCCCTCTCCAAACCTTACCCAGGAGCCCACCAGGCTCTCTTACCTTCCTGTGTCTGTCTCCCATAGCTGGGGCTCTCCTCTATTTTCCAGAGGCCATCTGTGCAGCTTGTTTGTTGTTGCACTAGATCTACAGCAGAAGAGCACAGGTGTGTCCTAGCAACCCTGGGCTCCTGCTTCCAGCAGCACCCAGTGTCCTCTCCCACAGGACAGCCTCATGGCTGTGGGTGAGGTGTCCCCTGCTTTAGGTACACCAAGCCTGCCAAGGTCCTTGCAGATTTTGCACTGCTTGGGAGCCCTCCATGCAACAGGCTTTCAGGGAAGGCGCTGCTGTCTTTCAGTGTCAGCATCAGTGCCCTCCCTCACGCCTTTCTTTCATTGCCACCTGATGGAGTGGTTTTCCCCAAGCCCACGCTGTCGCCCCAGCTTCCTTTTCCAGCCACGTAGGTGGTGTCTGCCTCACCAATTTTCCTGCTTGCCCCAGAACCCACCATGCCTTCAGCCCCAGGCAGAAGCGCCCAGTCCCATGGGGAAGCTACAGCTCAGTCTGTTAGTACACAAGTGCTATGGTGCCAGCCCTGACCCCAGGACCCCCTCTGCAGAGATGGCTGGTACTTACAGTGGAAACTCAGGCTGACAAGGATGATTTGTGCCAGTAGGAGCGCCAGGGAGAGGAGACCCAGGCTGAGGGCTGCCCAGAGCCAGGGCAGGCGCACTGGCTGCTGAGGAGCTGAGAAAAGGAGTTAACAAAGGGAGAGTTTGGAGGGAGCAGTGGGGAACCTTAAGCCAGGAAATGTCTGTGAATCCCAGGTGGGATGCCAGGAGGCAGTGGGGGAGCCTGGAAAAGTGGGGAAGAACCTGTTTGCAGCAGCTCAATTGTCCTAGAAATTATCTTCCTGCACGAAATGCTTGGTGGGGAGAGGAGAGGAAAAGTGTCTGTGCTGTGGCATGGGGGTGCAGTGGACATCCCCTGCCTTTGAGCCCCTCCTGCCCCCCACCCCAAGACCAGGCAGTCTGCAACAGTGCTGGAGAAGAGCTGTTTGAGAGAGGACACCCAAAAAGAGTGAGTAGGGGGAGCGGGACTGGGAGGACACTTCTGGGGAAGGCAAGGGGCTGCAGGAGGGCAGGGAACCTACTGAGAGAGTTGGGGAGCCATTACCTGGTGTGGGGGGAAAGCGCAGGTCGGCATACATGACACCCTCTTCCATGCCTTCCTTGGTCTCCTGCTCTGCAGCCCACAGGGGCAGCGACAGCCCTTTCCCAGCCCAGCCTCGCAGACGGGTGTGATGCAAAATGGAAAGTGTCACTTCCTGGTGGGGTCCCCAGAGGCACCACCTGGCACAAAACCCGGGGGGCTGGTGGGGCTGCCAGACACTTGGGGCGAGGGGCAGCCCTGTTGAGGCCAGCCTCCCGGCATCCCAGCAGGAGAGAAGTGCACGCTCCTGGCTGTGGGGCTGCAGGCAGTGGGAATGGCTGCTGGCTCAGACAGGCAGCCAGGGCTGGGCTAGGCAGCCACGTCATGGAGTTGTGAAGGACCTGAAAGGTCATCTCGTCCCGAGTCCCCTGCCAAGGACAGGGATAGATACCCTCCACTAGACCAGGGTGTTCAGAGCCCCATCCAACCTGACTTTGAACACTTCCAGGGATGGAGAACCACCCTTCCCTGGATAACCTCTGCCAGTGCCTCACAACTTTCACCATAGTTTCTTCCTAAAGCAAGAAAAGTCATATGGGAAGCAGCTGAGGTCACTTTGTTTGTTCAAGCCTGGAGAAAAGAAGACTGCGGGGAGACCTCATCACAGTCTACAAGAGGAAGCAGAGGGGCAGACACTGATCTCTTCTTTCTGGTGACCAGTGACAGGTGCCAGGAAGGGTTTAGGTTATTATTATCATTATATTAGGGAAAGGTTTATATTATGTTATTATTATTATTATTATTATTATTATTATAATTATTACTACTACTACTACAACTACTACTACTACAACTATTATTATTACTATTATTATTGTTGTTGTTGTTTTGTTGTTTTTGTTTTTGTTGTTATTGTTATTATTGTTATTATTGTTATTATTATATTAGGGAAAGGTTTCTCACCCAGAGGGTGGTTGGGCTCTGGAAAGGCTTCCCAGGGAAGTGATCACAGCACCAAATCCGACAGAGTTCAGGAAGTATTTGGACAATGTTCTCTGGCACACAGGGGGATTGTTGGGGGTGTCCTGTGCAAAGAGTTGGAGTTTGATGATCCCAGCGTGTCCCCTCCATCTCAGGAAATTCTGTGATTATGTGATGAATATCTAAGCTAAACCTGCCCCCTGACAGTCTGAAGCCATTCCTCCTTCTCCTATCATTACACACCCTTGCAAAATGTCCCACTCCATCTCTCTTTAGTCCTTCTGCTATTGTAAAGCTGCTTAAGGTCTCCCCAGAACCTTCTCTTCTCCAGGTTGAACAAGCGTGGCTCTCTCGGTCTGATCTGGGCTAGGGACTGCAAGGGAAGGCTGGGTATCCTTGGGGCACAGGACACATTCCCTTGCGCCTCTCTCCAAGGAGCAAGGCCACGGGGTGTTTGCTTAAAGCAAAACACCCCGTGGTTTTTTTTTTTGTTTTTGTTTTTTTGGTTTTTTTTGTTTTTTTTTTTTTTGGTTTTTTTTTTTTTTTTTTTTTTTGCATGGGGCTGCAGCTGCATCTCAGCCCTGGGAAATGGGAGGGTTGGGGTGCTCCTTCCCCTGCCTCAGCCTCCGTGATGCCGAGATGGCCACCCCTGCCGAGCCCTCGTTCGGGGGAGCGGCAGAGAGCCCGGGAGCCTGCGGGCCGGCACCGAGCCCGCTCCGAGCGGCGGCTCTCGCTGCGGGAGGATATCTCTCCCCGGACTACGTTTCCCAGCGGCTCCTCCCGGGGCTGCACATGCTCCATGCGGCTCCGGGCGCCTCCCGGCAGCTCCCGGCGCGGCGCCCGCTGCGGCGCAAGGCCAGTCGGTGCGGCTCCCGGTGCGGCTCCCGGCGCTGCTCCCGGTGTGACCGGCGCGGGTCCCGGGGCAGCCACCGGGGCGGCTGCCGGCGGTTCCCTGTGCAGCTCCCTGCGCGGTTCCCGGAGCGCCTCCCGGCGGGGCATCCTCCCGGTGCGCCCTCGGGAGCGCCCGGCCGAGCCCCGCCGCCGGCCCCGGCCCGAGCCATCCCGGGCACCCCCGCCTCGGGCCGGCAGCATGCCCCGCGGGCGAGCCTGGACGCAGGCGGAGGTCAGCAGCCTGCTGTCGCTGGTGGGGGGCTCGGGGGAGGCCGCGCTGCTCATGGCCTCCACGTCGCGACCCAACGAGGCGCTCTGGCGGGAGATCTCCCGGGGTCTGGCGGCGGCCGGCTACGGGCGCAGCGTGGCCCAGTGCCGCTCCAAGTGGAAGGCGCTCAAGCAGGCTTTCCACTCGGAGCGGGAGACGCGCCGCAGGGCAGGACACCACTCGCCCCGGCTGCCGCCGCACTACCGAGCCATGAAGAGCATCTGGAAGGCGGCCGGGCGGCCCGTCTTTGGCGAGCGGAGGATGCCAGGTGGGTGCCGGGTCTGGCTTGTGGGCTTAGCAGGGTGGCTGGACGTGGGGTGCTGGTGGAGCACCGGTGCTGCGTGGACACCCAGGGTCTGTTGATGGTCTTTCTCTTCCCCTAGACGTGGTGAAGCTGCCCTCCAGAAGGCGCAGGTCAGCCCTTGCCACACGCTCTCCATCCTCACCAGAGCCACCAGGTACCCGTGGGCTCAGGCAGCTGGAGTGGGGCTTGTCCTGGCTGCGAGGTGGTGGACACCCCTGTTGCTCCAGTTACTGAAGCTCCTTTCTGCACCCCTTCACCTCCTTCTGCAGAGCACGGCGTTGGCGGGGACGCCCCCAGGACGCTGCTGTCACCGGTGCTGCAGTGTGCGAAGGACGAGCCAGAGAGTCGTAAGTACTGAGCTGCCCTGCTGCACCGAGCTGCGTGGCCATGCCTCCAGCCCAAGCCCATGCCAGCATGATGGGAATGGGAGGCTGAGAGGATCACGGGATCCATCACATGCCCCTCAGCGGGGATGGTCAATGATGGATGTGTTTGGACTTCTGTCTCCACAGGCTTTGGCTCCAAACCAGCCCCAGAGCATGTGGGGATGGGGGTGGCTGGGATAGGGCAGGAGGGGGTCCCAGCCTGAGGGCATGGCACGGCTGCTGGCTGCCCTGTGGCAGATCATGAGGCAAGAGGTCTGGAAGGGGCAGTGGCCCTGATACAGCACAGGGATCTCATGGCTGGTGGCATTGCAGGGCATGTGACTCCATTCCTTCAGCAGCTCCTGGCTCCTCATTGGCACAGTAACACCATAAAGCTTCAGATGAGTTTGGGCTGTGTGTAAGGACAGAGCTGCCTGCAGCTCCCCTGCCCTTCAGCCCACCCACATATGTAATCTGCAGACCCCTCACTGTTCTCACTCCTGGGGATTTGGCACTGAGGTGATGCAGGATACATCCCTGAGTCTGGTTTGTTTGGGCGCCCCAGCCATCTTCCCACACTGGGTAACTACCTTCTGTCTCCCCAAATTCCCCCTGCAGTTTCAAGTGGATGTGGGATTCTCCTTCTCTTCCAGTCCTAGTCTGTTGTGTAGCGTTGCTGCGCGCTGCTCCGCCGCTGCTGCCTTCCAGCCCAGAGGTGGCTGCATTGCAGTGGTGGGTGAGTGACTCCTGCTTTTGTACCTAGCTCTGAGGTGCTTCGGGGCCCTGCAGGGCGCTCTGGAGCTGTGGCTAGGGCATGTCAGGCTGAGGGGCTGGCCGGGGCAAGCCGGGCAGGCCCCAGGCTGGTGGTGATCCACCAGCAGGTCCCTTCAGAAGGCGTATCTCTCCTCTCTGCTTTCTCCCAGCAGCTGGTGGGGAACACATTGCTGGAGTGCCTCCCACACCCCCTGCCATGCCACGTAAGGCTTTCCTTGCCCTGCTCAGCCCAGTAAACCCCCTCAGCCCCACAAGCAGGGTCTGATATGGTTCTCGTTGCAGACACCGGTTGCTGCTTCTCTCCCCTCTCCCAACTGGGTGAGTACCATGCCCCAGCTACCATGCTTGTGTGTCCTGGGGCAAGAGGTGGCTGCAGCTAACAGGCTGTGGCTGCAGCTCACAGGCCATGTCTGCTCTCCTTCCAGGCTGTCACACTGACCTGAAGCAGGAAGGAGCTGAAGGAAAGGCCAGTAAGTGTTTGCAGCTTTGAGCAAGTCCTCGTGCTCCAGGGGACAGGCTCTGGGAGGCAGTGAGGCAGTGCCTTCCCAGGCCTCTGTGTCGTAGTCAGGCTAAATTTGGGGCTTGGGTGTCTCCATCACTCTTGTTGTTTGCTCCATGCCAAGCTTTCGTGGCAGGCTTTCCTGGTGAGACGTCCCTGGGGATGGGAAGAGGAAACCGAGTGCTGCCGCTGGCTGCTGCAGCCACAGGCTCCCACGGGACAGCAGCCATGAGTGAACAGCCAGCAGCAGGTGAAGATGCATCAGACACAAGCCTGCATGGTGGGTGCTCCCTGCAGCTTCACAGCAGCCTCACAGGGAGCTCTCGGGGCTGTGGTGATGTGCCACTGACCCCTCTCTCACTGCAGGGTCTGGCGTGGCAGGCTTGCTCCAGAATGTCCAGCAGCTGCTGGTGCAGATCCTGCAGACATCCCGGCAGCAGCAGGCTCTACTGGAGAGCCTGGCCAGTGACACCGTCTCCCACCTCCACCTCCTCTCCCACAGCCTCGTGCAGGTGGGCGAGACCCTGCACCAACTCCTGCTCCGGCCACAGACCCATCCTGGCCCCATTGGCCACTATGTCCCCCACGTGCCCCTTTTTGAACGTGGCTCTGGAGTGCCCTGCTCCCCTGGTGCTCCCCACACTTCCCCAGATCACAAAGAGGAGCCTCAGATGTCCCCTGATGCCAGGTGCATCCCCCCCTGAGTGCCCCATCACTGACCCCAGGAGCAACAGCTTTGTTACCGAGCCATGGCACAAATCTTTATATCAGAGGTTCCAGATATTTTGAAAGTTTATACTAGAGAGACATTTTAATAAAATTAAAAATAGCTTTTCTACCAGCAATGGCAACTGACCAGTTCTTTCCCCCTCTCTGGGGAATGTTCCCCTTCTCACTTTCGAGATGAGCATGAGGGGAACTCAGCTATTTACAGACTCAGAGAAACTCCCAACCCACACAGCACGGGGCAGATGTATTTCTTCTGCCCTTTACAGCAGTGCCTGGGGTGGGCATCACGCCTTCCTGGGAGATGTGCTGCTGTCTGTGGAGCAGAGCAGGGCCACTGCCAGGAGGGGAGGCCAGGAAGCCCAGGATGCATCCTTCTCCGAGGGAAGAGGCTGGGGTGGGTGATGCTGTGCTGGGGAAGCAGCATGTGCAGCAGCCACGGTCCCTTAGTGTCCAGGTCCTTGGCAGGTTTCTTCCAGGGGACAATCTGGGGCTTTCACAGCCGGTACTATGGGCTTGCCACACGCTCTGGTGAGGCCCTCCTGCTCCGGGAGGGATCCTCCTGCTTCAGTACATGGATATCAGGTAGCAGTAGCTGCAGACGTACCATGGCACGTGCCTAGAGAAGGGACCTCTGACTGTCACCTGGACCCCACCACATTCACCAGTTTGTGCACATCCTCCACGGGGCAATGTGCTCTCTGCCCCCAGAATCTCTTGGCCACATCCAAGGAGAGGAAGGGTACATCGTGTAGACATCATGAAAATGGTCACGCCATGCCAGATGCCACGTGCTGGAGGGCTGGCAGGTAGCTGCCACTTCTCCCAGAAGAGGAGGGAGACCATGTAGAGGCCAGTCCATGCCAGATGATCAAGCCCAGCAAGGGAGGTGGGCAGGCAGTCGTGTTGAAGCAGTTGTTATCCCGTCTTGAGGATGTATGGGTGATGGATCCGCTCATCACTGCCTGTCTGCCATGCATGATCTTCAGGGTGAGGTTGCAGTACGTGTCCCTGTAGCTCTCCAAGTAGATGTCCATGAACTCCTGCCCTTTCCACTGCACATCCTCGCCCGTTGTCTGCTCCACCATCTTCCAGGAGCTTGCCGGGGCACCCCACATCCTCCAGGTGCACACACCACTGGCTGGAGCACCCCACGTGTGGCCAAGCTGTGGAGAGAGACCAGGGGCACAGTCACAGGGCCCAACAGCAAAGTGGCAGGGAGATAGCAGGTACCACAGCAGCAGTGAGCAACAACATCACAGCCCAGACATCATCTAGCAGGGGAGAAACATGAGCAGGTAGTGCTGGAAAGGCCCGTGACACCCCCAGCACTGTGCACCCTGGGTCGGAGAGAAAGGCATGCCACAGAGGCACAGAGGCCTCGTGATGCAGTGGGCAGGGAGCTGGGGTCTGTGGGGGCTGCTGGGGGCAGGGCCAGCCCTGGTGGGCATGATGCTCCCACCACTGCACACAAAACATCCTCTGTGCTCCCAAGCAGGAGCAGAAACCACCTGGCTGCTGGCCAGCAACCCTGGCCCCAAGCCTCACAGTGATGGGGCCACTGCCTGCAAACACCTCTGCCTCGGATTTCCCTTCCTGGAGCCTGTCAGGGCAGGCAAAGAGAAGAGGAAGGTGGGATCTCCCTTCCTGAGCCCTGCTGCTTGCACTGGTGAAGTTGCAGTGGCTGGGCTGTGGTTGTCCATGCTCCACACTGACCTTGCTGTGTTCCCCATCATTCCGCTGGTTGCCTGTTGTGCTCCCAGTCAGCCTGCTGTGATCCCCTTCATCCCACCACACTCCCCAACAGCCTGGCCTGTTCCCTGCCATTTTGCCATGCTCCTCACTTGAGTCTACACCTGCTCCTTCCAGCCCTGGGGCACCACAGCACCCATCCCTCAGCTCTGGGGTGCTGGGGCAGTGGGGTGGGCTGTCCCCTCTCCATTCAGGAGGTGAAGGGCAGTGAGGGGTGCTCTGAGACGGGGTGCAGGAGGGGGCTGGCTGCTGAGGAGGGTGGTGCTGCAACAAGGACTGGGGATGCGGCGTGTCCTGGGGACTGCAGGTGCATGGGATAACACCGGAGGTACAAGTGGGACATAGCGATGTGGGGTGCTGGGAACCGGGGTTTCAACGGAGTGGTGAGCAACGGGGTGCAATGAGGGGCGCAGTGAGGCTGCAACGAGGAGTGCATTGAAGGGGGCAGTGGGGGGGAAGTGTGGGGTGCAGGGGTGCAGTGAGCGGCGCAGGGGTGCAGGGAGGTGCAGGGAGTGGCACGGGAGGGTGCCGGGGTGCACTGAGGGGTGCATTGAAGGGGGTAGTGGGAGGTGCAGGGGTGCAGTGAGCGGCGCAGGGGTGCAGGGAGGTGCAGGGAGTGGCACGGGAGGGTGCCGGGGTGCAGGGAAGTGCAGGGAGTGGCACGGCAGGGTGCCGGCGCTGCAGGGGGAGCCGAGGGCAGTGCGACCGCAGCGACCGCGGTCTCCGGGCTCCACGCCCGTGCGAGGCGCGGCCTGGCTGGAGTGACAGCTCAGCGGCCAATAAGAACTGAGAAAGGAGAGGGTGGGCGGGTCTGACAGCGCACGCCACCCAATGGCAGAGGTCGTAACGAGCCCGGGGCGGGGCGAAGGCGGGGCTCCATGACGTCACGGCGGGCATCCCCGTTCGGGGGTCGGGGCAGCCCCGGGCCCTGCGGGGGCGCGGACCCCGGCCCGGCCCGAGGGGCTGGGGCATGGCCGCCCCCGCACGGTGTCCCCGCGCCGAGGGCTGGCCCGCCGCCTCGCCCCTGCGGGCTCTGCCCCACTGCCCGCCGCCTGCTGGAAAAGCGCGGGTGTCCTGCCAGGCCCGGGCTGTGGCACTCGCACGGCGCCCTGTGCTCCAGCCTCTGCCCGCAAAGCATCCCATGCCCCAGGCTCCTCTCCAGCTGGGGCTCAGGGCGGTGCCAGAGCGGTGGGGCAGGGCTGGACCCCAGTCTCTTGCCAGCGAGCCCCGAGTCCTGGGAACTGCAGCTTGCAGTTCCGGCGAGCGTGTCGGGCTGGCACAAGGGGATGCAAGTGTGGAAGGGTCTGAGATCGACACAGCCATCGCCTTTCCCGGGGGTCTCCATCACAAGCCCTGCCTGGTGAGACCCTCCCCCTCCAGGCACATGTGATGTGTCTGCACTTGCAGGGCTGCGGTGACAGCCAGGAGAACACAGGGAAAAAGGGTGGGCCGCTTCTGAGGCACGCAAGATCTTCTCCAGGCTAGAAATACAAGTGAAAGCACCAGCATGTCTCATCAGGATTTCAGTGTTGCTGTTTAGTGGCCCAAGGACCTTGAGGATGCTGCTCTGGGCATCCAACTCCTTCTGCCTCTGTCACACACAGCAGCTTGCAACAGGGCAGCTGAAACAAAACAGCCAACTGCCAGGGCAGCCAGGATAGATCCCGCGGTAGTGGAGGCTTGGGGGGAGGATTTTTCCTTGTTTTTAACCCATTCTGGAGCAAGTCAAAACTGTACCACTCTCCTGATCCTCTCCCTCCTGCATGGCCTGCCCCATGTCCAGGGCATATGTTCAAGGTCTAGAAGAATTGGAATAATAAAGTTGTTACCTGCCAGTGGCAGCAAGCTCTTTGCCCCTGCACCTCACTCCCAGCCAACACGCTGTAACCTGGAGGTGATGCTCTGTGCACACTTGAGCCCAGTCCCATCTCACAAACCTGGGGTACAGCCAGTGAGACCCAGATGACTGCCCTGACAGCAGCTTTGGGCTGCTAAAAGTTGAACGTTCAGTCCTGTGTCTTCCCCACTGCATCAGCCACTCCTTCTCTTTCCTGTCCCAAAGAGTGCCCCAAGGCCTGGGGTGACCTGGTGAGGGGTACACAGAACTCCTGGCCACAGCTCACCCTGCAGCCCAGCTCCAATGGCCACCCTGATAAAGTGCCTGGCCACAGCAAAAGCACGAGGTATTGGCATTAGGAACAGGACAAGGATCTTGAGCCTCCTCCTGTTAATCTCCAAATATTGAGGGAGAGGTTTAGCATGGTGGGTGTGACTCCCACCAGCACCCCGTGCACACACTGCCCCTCTGTGCTCATGCCTCTCTCTGTGCCAGTGGTCGGTGTTCACACCTCAATCCTCTCTCCCAGGCTACTGGATGCCCAACCTGCTGCCAGGGATGGGCCTGCAGCCACTCGGGGAGGGTGTCCAGAGGGATGGATGCCACTGGGTTCTCAGGCAACCCAGCTGGCCTCTGGCCCCTTCTCTATTGCACTTTATTTTAAAAACATAATGTTTTCCAATGGAAATAGAATCACTTTCATCGGCAGCCTCTTAGTTCTTCATATGTGGGACAGAAGGCAATGACAGAGTGGTCAGGCTCATGGGCATGACCTGAAGGTCTCACACACCACAAAACAGCACCTGGAATCTCCTCCACCAAACAACCATCCAGATGGGATGCAGCGCAGCATGGATTAGGCAGAGGTATAGTTCCAAAATCCAGAATTTAAGTGAAGCAGGAGAGGGTGTCTAAGGACAAGGAGAGGAAGCTGCTTTGATGTGTATCAGGATGTTTATCTTGATATCAAAAGCCCTAGTTCTCTTTTTTAATGAAGTGGCTCCTCCCTTTGAAGTAGATCCTCCCGTGCTGTGCACGGCTGCGGCTCAGGGACATCCTGCACAGACTTCACCCTCCTCAAATGTTAATTTTTCTCTTGTGATTTGCCTGAAAACTGTGAGACCAAAGTGAAAACTCAGGGATGAGAGCAGCCAAGCTGCCTTTGGACCTGCCAGACAGAGGACGGGGTCAGACGGGTGTTTGAAGGCAGGCTGAAGGCAGGGTGAAGGGAGGTGCTGTGCCTGGGAGCACTTGGCACATCCCTGCAGCACGTACAACCTCGGGGTGTACAAACATTTATGAGGTCCCTTGAGAGGAGGTGGGTTTTGCTCCAGGTCCTCCCCCACAACAGGGAGGAAGCCTCCAGCTCAGATTATCCATCTTCCCAAGAGGAGACGACTTCATTAGTTAATTAGAACAACAATCCTCATGGGCTCATCTGGGATTTGTAGTTGTGCTGGCAGGAGATTTGCTGACTGCAGGCAAGCCCTGGGGCAAAGCTTCTCAGGAGGACTTGGCGCA